ACTCTCAAAAGCAGGAACTCATCGCCCTTTCGTCAGCGAAGCAGAGTTCATCGCCGCCAGCACAGCTGTTCGCGAAGGACTGTACCTGATGGAACTGCTGCAGGAAGCGAAAGTAACGATGAACGGGCACTTCACGTTACTCTGCGACAACCAGAGCGCGATTAAGATCGTGAACAAGCCCGGCTTCGTGAACCGCACGAAACACATCACCCTTCGCTACTTTTTCGTCAAAGATGAAATCGACAAGGGCAAGGTCAAGCTTACGTACTGCCCAACTGGCGACATCGCGGCCGATTTTCTGACAAAGAAACTGCCACGTCAACAGTTTCAGCACTGCGCCGATCTCTGCGGGATCACCAAGAAGTCCCACGTGGCTCACCTTCAGGAATGAAGGGGAGTGTTGAAATAACCGATAAGCATTCCCGAAGGCTCTCCACTGTCGCGTCTCTTCATAGCGAAGCAGGCGCTTGTATCAGTACCGCGCTAGCTCATATAGAGCACGCGGAAGGTCGAGGGTCACCCGAAGGTCAACAGTCGAAGACAGTCAACGGTCGTGACCCTTGACTGCCCAGTAACCGCACAAGCCAGTTACGAAGTGCAGCATGGTAACTGTCTAGAATGGCAATAGTCGTGGTTACTGTAGCAATGCAATTCTGTTAATAAGGGAATGTACCCCTCAGATTACATGGCTAGCTAGGAATGCTATTTATATCCTTGTACATCTATCTTATAATCATCTTTCAATTTATTAACAAGGTCATTACAGAGACTTCACAGCTCTCTTCTTTACACTTGGCAACCTTATCCTATTCACTATGATCCTTCAGTAATAACATCAAAGGCTGAAGAAGGTGGGGCAATACTATCATATTGTAACAGCAAGGACCAGACCAACCCGCAATGGCACCAATTCTTCATGGCTTCATCAATGTGCATGTTGTTTGATGTACGGTACAGCCCATCCTAGTCCTATCCGGTTTCGTGGCACGTACGGGAGTCGACCAAGCCATATTTTTCCGAGGCACATCATTGGCGGCAGAAGCGTACGCTGCAGCAGACAAGTGCAGCAGGTTCACTGTGGCGGCAGGTGGGGCACCAGCAGGTGTCACGGTGACAGCAGGCAGCGAATCCAGTTGTTCGGCGGCGATAGAAGTGGCAGCAGTAGTAGAGAGAGAGAGAGAGAGAGAGAGAGAGAGAGAGAGAGAGAGAGAGAGAGAGAGAGAGAGAGAGAGAGAGAGAGAGAGAGAGAGAGAGAGAGAGAGAGCAGCGTCAAACACGTCCCCACGTGCATTACGCGCTGCTCGACGTGGAGAGGAGTCGCAGCTACACGAGCAGCAACGTGAGGAGCTGGTGGGACGGGAGGGAATAGCAGCACCTGGGGAGGCGGCGGAGGAACAGGAGACGGTGGAGGGCGAGGCGGCTGTGGCCGCGGCGGCAGTGGAAAGCGGCGCAATGGAGACTGCGTCGGAGGCGGCTGTTGCGGCTGAGGCTGCGGCTGCTGCGGGGCTGGAGGGGGTTGCTGCTGAGGCGACTGAGAGGGCGGTTGCTGCTGAGTTTGGCGAGCCTGACGCTGCCTCTGGCGGCGGCTCAGCCTCACCCTCTGCCATCCCCCGGGCGTTGCAACCAGAGGTGCTGGGACCGGCAGTGGCTCTGGAACAGACAGCGCTGACGCTGCGTCCGGCACCTGAACCTGTTGAAGGCAGCCGGTGGACAGCAATAGAGCTGCGCCTGCACCAGTTCCAACTCGGCACCTGGCAACCCCTCTACACCGACGCGTGTGTCATCCCCGACAATGAGAGTCCGGTACGACACCAACCGGACGATGCAGGTTTATGCGCGAGGGCGGAGGGGTTGATAAGGAAAGGAAATATTTCCAAAGCGGTAGCGGCGTTACGAACTACACCGCTCGTAGAAGCCACGGCGGCAACATTGACGGCACTCCAAGCGAAACACCCCGCAGCTGAAACATCGCTACCATGCCTGGTTACCGGGTTCAACCGCTCGACCCTCAGCGTGTCGGCGGACGAGCTTCGCGAAATTCTCAAGAAATGTCCGAACGGGGTTGGAGCAGGCCCATCAGGCACATGCTTCGAACACCTCAAGGATCCAGCACTGGCAAACGGGGAGGTGCTTATCCTACTCGCTAAGACAGTGACTTACCTGCTGAGCACGTTCCAAACTCAATCGACCCGTGACCTGCTGCTGCCTTCACGGTTGATCGCCCTAGAAAAGCCAGGAGGAGGCGTCCGCCCTATCGCGATAGGGGAAGCTATACTTCGCGTTGTGGCTAAGGCAGCATTGAGGGGTTTAACGGAAAACATTAAAGAATTCTTCTTACCGGTGCAGTTTGGGGTGGCGATACCAGGAGGCGCGGAGTGTATCATACACTCCGTCAGATCACTACTAAGAGACGACGACACAAGAGTAGCGCTACAGCTGGACATAGAAAACGCCTTCAACAGTGTCGAACGGGCGGCTTTCTTCAACGCTCTATCCCAATCCAGTTTTCTGCAGCTCATGCCTCTCGTTAGAACACTCTACGGGGCACCTTCGTCTCTCTTGGTGGATGAGCGAGTAAACCATATCCTCTCGTCACGGGGTGTGCGTCAAGGGGACCCGCTCGGCCCACTACTCTTCGCGGCTGCGATTCAACCGTGCCTGCTTAGCACGGCAACCTTCTTACCCGAAGTCGCCATAGTAGCCTACGCGGATGACATAACGATAGTGGGGGCGAAGGAGGCCTGCTATGAGGCTTTTGGGGCCATCACAAGGGAGCTGGCAACCCTCGGCCTCCGCTGCAACGTCGCAAAATCATCAGCATGGGGACAAACCCTCGAGGACGATGGCGGCACGGCACCTGCTATTGGCCTGCAGCAGACCGCAGACGGGATTCGTGTTCTAGGCAGCCCAGTCGGCTCGCCTGCCTTTTGCACCGCCCTAGCACAGTCGAGGCTAGATGAGGCGTCGGCCACATTACCTCTGGTGGCGCAGCTCCACCCGCAGAGCGCGATGCTCATACTCACAAGGAGCATATCCCGCCGAATCTCCTACCTGCTGAGGACGACACCGGCGGAAGTATTGGAGAGGGAGGGGTGGAGGGGCTGGAGTGAAACACTGATGGCAGCAGCACTAGCAGCGGCTAAGCTACGGGTACCCCCGAACGAACTGGAGAGGAGTCTGTTGTGGCGCCAGGGAACTCTACCGGTCAGGTTGGGAGGACTGGGGATTATTGACCCCGTCTCGGAAGCACCTGCAGCCTACATTGCCTCGGTCACAGCGGCGCAGCAACTCTTGCGGCAGATGAACCTACCTGAGGCTTACCTCTTGAGCAGGGCGGTCGAGCTGCTGAACCACGAGTGGACCCCTGACCCACCTGGTATAAACCCCCTGACACCACTGGAAGCTGGGCTGCCCATGGCTGCACGGGCAGCACTACACACCTACAGGGCGCAGCCGGCAGGGCAAGGGAACCTTCAACTGACCCTGTCTCGCCACATCAACGAGACACGGGCAGCGGAGCTGTTGGCTGACACAATAGAGGACCGCCCAGGGAAGGACCGGGGGCACGCAGTGCGGCTCATCAGCTTTCAAGGGGTGGGAACGGGGGACTGGCTCCATGCCATCCCAACGAGATCTGACCTTACATTTGCCCCTGGTCAGTTCTCGTTGGCACTTGGCTTCCGCCTCGGCATGGCCCTTCCAGTCACAGTTACCTGCCCGTGCAAGCGCGCCAACACAGCAATCACCGACACAAGCCTAGCAAACCACCTCTTGAGGTGTGGTTACGGGGGAGATGTCATCCGCACGCACAATGCCCTGGTGTTCGCTCTGCTCCGGATGGCAAAGGAGGCCGACTTCACCGTTTTCCATGAAACTACTGCCTTCTCCCCACCGGTGATCAGGAAGAGAGGTGATCTTGCTATCCGTGACAAGGAGTCGAATGAGACATGGGTCACCGATGTGACGGTGACTGATCCAGTGCTGCAGTGCCGCGACAAACGTGCTCGGAAGCCTCCTGGATGGGCGGCAAGGGAAGCCTCGGAGAGGAAACACAGGATCTACGAGGGGCGGCCTGACTACGTGGGTTTCTTTGGGTTGGCAGTGGAAACGTACGGTGCCCTAGCTACGGATACACAGCAGTTTATCCGCCTGCTAGCAACCTCGGCGGCAAAAAGAAGGTTCCGCCAGGGGAGGCTCACCACCACCACTGCAAGACTCACCGCTCACTACAGGCAGCGCTTCAGTGTCATGCTCCAGCGATCACAGGCGACGTCATTCCTGAACAAGTCTAACATAGGTGACGTGGCAGCCTTCTCACAGACGGCTAGGGACCCTTGGGAACCTAGCCTAGGGGACCTCTGGCAGGTCCTCGAGGATGAGATGGACGGGGTGATGGGTCAGTGAGCAGGATAGCTGTGGGCTAGGTGTCTAGCGGAGTGTTAGCAACCTGCATTGCCTGTCTTGCATGTCTTGCCCTGTCCTGTTTGCCGTGTCTTGCCTTCCTTGCCTGGCCTTGCTTGCCTTGCTTGGCTTGGAGTTGCCTTGTTTGCCTGCCATGCCTGTTTGTGCCTTGCCTTGCCTTGCTTTTTCCCTTCTGCCCTCAAGGTCCTGACCTGCTGGTACCGTTGGTTTGCTAGCCCGACCTCCCACTGGCTACTTGTTGTGCCAACCTTGGCCCTGCCTCGCATAACTGGTTGCTCATAGGACTAGGCCTGTTCTGTACTTTGCTCTTGCCAATGCCTGTACCTCTATGAACCTATCAATGAAGGACTGTTTGAGAGAGAGAGAGAGAGAGAGAGAGAGAGAGAGAGAGAGAGAGAGAGAGAGAGAGAGAGAGAGAGAGAGGTGCCGAGGGGGCGGGAGCAGGAGCCGGCGGGAAGTGAACAGGAGGCGGGGGTGCAGCGTCAGGTGGCGGACTCAAGGGTAGCACAGCCTGTCGAGGAGCCTCAAGTGCGGGCAAGGCGCGCAACGAACTACTCTGGCTCTGCGCCGCCCTCTCCTCACGCACCGCCCTCGAGACTTCCCGCTGTAGATCCGCCATCGTCACAGGCGGGCGGTACCCCCCACCACCGCCACGCCCGCGGTGACCCCTCCAGTCCCCCTGACCACCGGGGTGAGCAGGCCAGTGCGCCTGCTGCTGGTAACGCCGTGGAGAGTCGCGACGGCGACGAGACGACTTGCGATCCTGGTGGGGCGCAGGCGAATGGGGCCGAGACGGGCGACGGTCGGGTGACGGGGGACGCGACGGCTGACCTGCCGGAGCCATCGACGTCACAGCAGGCGCCAATGGGGCCGGGCCGCCAGTGGTGGCGGACGCCGCCTGCGACGACAAAGCAGCGGCAGGCGCTGAGCCAGCGGGGACGGCAGCGGGCATCGCAACAGGCGCGGCAGGAGCAGGAACGGGCGGATCAACACCAGCCTCGTCAAGGACAGTCGCCGACGACACGGCATGAGAAGCCAGGTGAATGGCAGCTGCAGCAGGAGCGGACGGCGCAGGGACAGGCGCAGATTGGGCAGGCGAGCTCGCCGCAACAGGAACTGCGGCTACGAGGGGAGGAGGCATTTCAGAGACTGCTGTCCCGGGCTTCAGAGCCGGCGGCAGCGGGGGCTTCGTCGCCGTGGTCGCCTTTTCGGCCACCGTCTGGGAATTGGCGGGCGCAGCCGACGAGGCGGCAGTGCGCTCTAGCAACGGCTCAAGCCCTCCGGCAATCACCATCCCTGAACCAACGAGACAATGGGGCGAGGAGACAGGCTGGTAGCGGCACAGGCGGAGGACCAGAAAACGGGTATCAAGCGGCAGGGCGTCGGGCTTTAAACGCTCTAGAAGCAACTACTGAAGACGAGGAAGCTGCAGACCCTTCTTATAGGGAGGAAGCGATCCCCACGAGTGAAGTCGGGGAGTCTGAGGATGAAGAGGGAGCACGGCAGACGGGAGGAAGGACAGAGTCAGGAGCAAGGGAGCTTGCCGCGCAACAGCCAGAAGTAGGGGAGGGACTGTCCGATGCTGATCGGACGGACGCAATTCCAACCGTCCCACAGAGCACGAGGCCGAGTCGCCGTCGCCGAATTAGATCTGCCAACATCGGGAATGCGCCGCCGCTTGCACCCCACGTAGCGCGCTATTTTTCACCAGAGGAGCTGGCGAAGCATGAGGACAAGTTCGCTGACATAGCGAACTGGGACATACCAGCCCTTTGCGACAGTCGACAACCGTCGCTGACACGACGATTACCGTCAAATCTCTGCCAGTTGTTCTCGCTGGCCTTACTGACCCCGCTCCTCTACTTGTCGCGTAACCCGGATTCGGAAGCTGGCTGGAGCCTGCTACTCTTTTTACCCCGCCTGACACTTCGCCAAACGTCGCCAAAACGTTCTGACTGGCCCCAAATCAAGGCCCGGCTCCGAGCCTTCCAACGTGGCGAATGGAACCAGCTGTACCAGGACGCGGTAAACGCGGTCAACACGCCCCCCGCGCCACGACATCAGCCCGACGCGACCGGGGTCGTCAGCAGATCCGAGGGGCTGGCGAAACGTGGCAGCCTCCGACAAGCTGTGCTGGCCCTCGAGTCAACACCTGTCTGTACACCCAGCTTGGAAATTTTGGCCGAGCTTCACAAAAAGCATCCGTCAGCGGGGGCCGAGGCGTTGACCTGGCATACAGTTCGCGAGTCGGATCTAACCATCGCCTACGCCGATTTCGCCAAACTGCTGGGGAGATGCGAAAACGGCGTGGGTGCTGGACAATCTGCCATGACTTTCGAACATTTACGAGATGCGGCAGTAACCAACGCGCGAGTCAGCACCCATCTGCATGCCCTGGTAAATACACTGTTGGGGGGAAACCTGCCGGGCCCGGTGGCAGACCTGCTGACTTCGTCGCGTCTTGTCGCATTGGCCAAGCCTGGTGGAGGGGCTCGGCCAATCGCCATCGGCGAATGCCTGACTCGTTTGACCGCTAAAGCAGCACTGGCGGTCATGGGCGATGCTGCCCGCGAACACTTCATACCACTACAGTACGGTGTAGCAGTGCCAGGTGGAGCTGAGGCGGTGATCCACGCAGCAAGGGCTTTTTTAGACGCACGCCCCAACAGTCTGGTGCTGCAAGCTGACATCGCAAACGCCTTCAACAGTATTTCGCGACAGGCCATTGCGACCGCGTTACAGGAGCCCAGTCTCTCGCCACTGCAACCTTTTGTGAAGCTGACATACGGTAACCCATCGCTGTTACACCTGGACGTCAGTTTTGGGAGCGAACCCCTGACAAGCGAACGGGGTGTCCAACAAGGAGATCCTCTGGGCCCATTATTGTTTGCAGTTGGGATTCACCCGACACTCCGCGAAACAGCTGAGGCCCACCCAGATGTGCTGTGTTTGGCGTATGCAGACGACGTGACGTTCGTGGGCGAACAAGATGCTACTGTAGCTGCATTCAATTTTTTCACTTCGAAGTTGCAGCAGCTGGGTCTGACACACAACCCACAGAAATGCGCGGCATGGAGCAAGACAGTGGCAGACGAAACACAATTACCTCCGGGAGTACCGTTCAAGACCGATGGGGTACGCCTGCTTGGCAATTACATTGGGCCGACCAACGGTGCGGCGAAATTCCTAGCGGGCCAGCTGGAGGAGATGGCGAAACCCTTACCACACATCGAGCGGGCCGACCCCCAAGTAGCCTCGCTACTGATCAGTCGCTGCATTTCAAGGCGTGTCGCCTACTGTTGGTGCAACCCTACGGTTTGCACTCGGCTTGTTGTCCGTGTGCGTGAATGTGTGTGTGTATGGAATGGTATGAGGGCATGGGATAATATATATTTCATGCTTATAATTGTGTGTGAATGTTGAGTCATGATGTCGAGTGTGTGTGTCGAGTCAATAGCGAGTTATCGCTAGACGCGTGTTACGCGGTCGTTTGTGTCTCGCGCGCGGTTTCTATTTTTGTCGTGCGCGGTTTCTATTTTGTCCTGTGTCGAACGTTCGGCGTGTCGCAGGTGTGTGCAGCAGACCCATCAAGAACTCAAGGATGAGTTTGTGATGAAGAGCCCGAGCCTTGGTGTCAAGCCTCAAGTGATTTCGAAGCTCGCCAAAAAGGGTACACCTCAAGATATTGAAGATAGTTACATTACTTTGTGTAGTGTAACATTTCACTTGGTGTAGGCCCTAGTGAAGGGTAGTTTCGAGACCCTTCGTGGTTGGGGACAGTGTGGCACTGTTCCACATCACTGTACCTCGGCTCTTGGGGTTTGTAGGAGCTGGGAGTCATTCCCAACTCGTAACTCTTCCTATCTTGTGTTCTAAGACTATAGTGGCTGCCATAGTACCGTTCGTTCAAACCGACGCTGTGTCGTCAATTCTTTATCAAATCGTGCAATCTAAATTGCTAATTGTAGACGACATGATGACGCTCCAGATCCAATTTGAATCATGTCATTTGCAGCTGTGAGCAGAACGCTATCAACGTTTGAAGCCGCTGTGCAGAAATCCGTCTGTGCTCTCTATCTTTCGTTTTAGGCACATTCAAGCCTATTGTGACTATAACAAGTGGTATCAGAGCCCCTTGGAGCAGTTTCGACAATGTCTGGACCTGAGGAAAGGGGTGGCAGAGGTGCTGGTGGTAGTGGAGAAGCTCAAGCTCAAGGCCAACCCCGTGATTCAGCCATGGCGCCCATGCAACCAAGTCTTGGCCCACCTAGGGATGAGCCTAGGGTGTTTGGGCTTGACAAGTTCAACGGTGACAACTTTGCTGAATGGTCCTTCAAGATGGAGAACATTTTTGACCACTATGACCTGCTGGAGGTGATGGAAGGAACGGAGAAGCGCCCCGAGAACGACCCGGAGAAGAGCCCGTGGGTGCGGAAGAGCGCACAAGGCTATCTCTTACTTGGGCAAGCGTTGGGGAGCAGTCAGATCCGTCACATCAAGCCATTCCAGCGTGAACCAGATAAAGGACCAAAGGCATGGGCTGCTCTCAAGGGTGTACATGCTCCTGCAACAGCGGCGGTAGCGGTGGTGTTGGAACGGCAAATGGCGGCACTACGAATTGAAGAAGACGAAGCGGTTGAAGAAGGGGTGCAGAAATTCTTCGACTTGTTGACGCGGCTTGAGGGAGCTGATTTGAACTACAGTGAGCTCCAAAAGAAGACCAAGTTGCTGGCCTTACTCCCAGAGTCATGGTCCTCGCTCATCATCAACCTTAATCGCGACTTGCCCCGCCTCTCGCTTGAAGACGTGAAGCGAGCTATCCTTCAAGAGGATTTCCGCCGCCGTGAGTTGGCGAGTGCGGATGGCGCTGGGGCAGCGAGCATCGGCCGTGGATATGGTCGAGGAAGAGGCAGAGGACGAGGGGGAGGAAGGTTTGGTGGCAGCAACTTCGGCGGAGGCCGCAGGAGTGGCGGTTACGGCAGCGACGACAAGAGCTACGGACGCGGTCGCGGCCGATTCGACGGCGAGTGTCACTATTGCCACAAGAGCGGACACATGTGGCGCGACTGCTACAAACTCCCTGATGGTTGGACCCCTGCTCAAGGCCAAGAGGGTAGAGGAGCAGGAGGAGGGAGAGGACGAGGCCGTGGAGGCCGTGGCGGTCGCGGTGGCGGAGCTGCAAACATGAAGAGCGGAGACAACGACAAGGACCCGAGCGACGATCGTTACCCGGGTCTATTCTACTTCGTGTCGACGCAAGTACCGGCTGGTCCAGAGAAGGATGAAGGCTTTGAGGAGCCAGCAGCTGTGGGGAAGGTGACCCTACACCCCCTGGACTATTGGGTGATTGATAGTGGCGCTACCTATAGCATGACACCTCGCCCGGACTTGCTCACCGAACTCGAGCCGTCACCGGTGAAGCATGTCACATCGGCTTTGGGGCAGCGAGCAGAGGTGAAAGGCATGGGCAAGGCCATGTTCAAGGGTGCTGATGGGAAGATGGTGGGCCTCAAGAACGTGCTTTGGGTGCCCAGCCTTGCTGCAAACCTGATTTCCGTGCGGCGGTTGGCAAAGGCCGGCATGGACACGAACTCGAAGGGAGCCAAGACCTACACCGCAAGGCTTGGCGATCGAATTCTTTGGGACCTTCATGAGGACAGGGATGTCTACAACGAGATGTGGCAGATCCCAGTGGTCCCTATGCCTAAGGAGAGGCAAGTGGTAGCAAGCATCAGCACCAAGGATGGAGCGGTCGGTAGCGACGATGGCGCGAACGGTCGCGCTAAGGAGAATGAGCTCAAGAAGAGCAAACCTGGAGGGACCAGCAAGTTCAGTGAACCTAAGGAGAGTGGTGCAGCAACCAAGGAGCAGCAAAAGGGTGAGGAGAACCCAGAGGCAGCAGCGGAGGAGGACTACGGAGAGAGTATGTGGGGCGCTATTGCGAGCGCGGCATTCTCCAATCCAACTTCGGCTACGGGGGAGTGTGATTGGCTCACCTTGCATCGGCGCATGGGGCATGTGGCCCTGCCCATCTTGCAGCAGCTAGTGAAGAATGAGATGGTTGCTGGCATACGTGTGAAGGGGGAGCCCGATGAGGTGCTTGGCTGCCCGACGTGCATTCAAGCCAAGTTCACCCGGTTTCCGTTCCCTAGTTCGGAGGCAACGGCAAAGGCACCGCTTGATGAGGTGGTGATGGACGTGGTGGGCCCCCTGAAGCTTGGAGCTGCTGGAGCTGAGTATTTTCTCACCATTGTCGACGTCTACACCCGCATGACTTGGGTGTACGTGCTGGCC